TGCAAAATCTAGTAGTGTATTTTGAAAGTAATACAAACCGTCAACAGTAGATGAACAGAGTCCCTCTGTTATGCTCTCGTCTTCCTCATCAGAGTTAAGAACTTTTTCTGTGGAAGTTCAAAGTAAAGCTTAATGGCATATAATAGATCGTAAACATATGGTATTTTGAATAGATGGTAAACAGAAAAATCAAACAAACGTCAAATAAAATACCACACCATCAGGATCTATCCCAATTTCATCCAAGTTCTTGCCATGGAACTCAGCTAATCTTCCTTGTTCAAGTGCCATTAGAACTTTGCTGATCTTGGCAAGTTGCAAGGTCTTCTCAGGGAGTCGATAGAACTCACGATGGATTCTTATGTCGTGTCCAAGGAAGTTTGCCAGCTGGTCCATCTCGGTGTCTGTCATATTCAGCACTGTTGAAAGCGTTGCGGCATGCTTTCGCAGTCTTGTAGATGTCAGTGACTTGGGACACTTTGCGCCACACACCTTAGCAAAGCCACGGAGGCAGTCTGACCCTCGAAAATGTGTCATGGCTTCTGGTCTTGCAAACATATAGGGATTGTCTTTCAGAACCCCACAAACCTCTCTCTGCTTAACAAGGAGTTCTAAGGCACATAGCATTTTTGGAGTCAGAAGAATTGGAACTGGTCGACCACGCTTTCCTCTTGTGATAACCCTTGTGAAGTGTCTGCAGAGTTTTTTTTCCACTTCAGAAAGTGCCCAGTCCACATCCTCATGTGGATGAGAAGTGTCTCTTGAAAGAAATGCAGACAAAGGCATACTCGAAACCTCTCCTTCCCTGCGGCGGTTAAAGAGAATCATCTGGGCTAGACACACCTTTGCCAGCTCCATCCAGGTTTTAGTAGAGGGACTTCCAGAGAGTGTTTTGAACCACTTCTCTTGCACTTCACTGAGATGTGTGTGCATTTTCTGGACGTCTTCAGTAAAGGGCATGATAGTGGGCACATTCCACTTTGCTTCACTGATGTTCCTCAATGCTGTAGCCGAGATCAACTCGTTCCACTTGTTCTGATGGACTTCTAGAAACTCACTGGCATTCTTAACAAGCTGTTTGTCATTTGAGATTAATCCCTGAGCTTTTAAGAGTTTGCTCACTTTAACCAGGGAATTCCCAAGCTTATTTGCAAGCGATGGAATCATGAACTTGTCTGTTTCACTGTCATACCCACACGTATACTTCACAGCTTTGACAGTCTCCATGTACTTCTTTGGATTTACACAATCTTCCATCGTTTTTAACGAGGTGACTCTCCTCGCCTTGTGAATCAACCGTCCCAATTCTCGCATCTTCTCCCGCACATACTGTTGATTTTTGGCTGATATCCCTCCTTTGTTCAACAAGTGCTGCCCAATTTCAGTAATTACTTTGTCATTTTTTATAATATCTGTGATTGGGTCAGGATTCATGGCACTGATTACTCCCCACAGTTGTTTGGTCATGTTTGAAGGCACAGGCCCCGTGTATGTACACATGGACTGAACACGGTTTTTTCCTGGTTTGGGGGGGACTGACTGAGGTTTAAGTCTGCAAGAACGCATATGTCGCCAAAGGACCTTTCTCGTAAAAAGTCCTTGACAGTATGCACAATGCATGAAATCCTCTCCCAGTGCTTTTTTAGGTGGTCGTTTAAATGGCACCAGTTCCCCCTTTCCTGATTCCATAACCGCAGCATTGTGGGCATAGTTCCCTTTGTTGCGAATATAATCCAACTGTTTTTTTCTCTCCTTTGAACATTTTGGAAAGCTTAGAGCTCTAGCCACATCAGATGTATTTGCATGTGAACTTTCTAGATGCCTTGCCATCTTAGCGTAAGGTTTGGAGCAATACAAGCAGTAATGTCTCTTGTTATACACTCTACCACCATCTCTTTATGGTATGCATTAACAACTACGCAGTCTATTGTGTTCTGACTTGAACTGGGCTCTTCTACTGTTCCAGATGCTTTAGACGTAACGCTGTGCATATTGTCTGACGTTGTTGAGTCACAGTCAGGGGAGCTTACAGAGGCAGATTCATTCATATCCAGTTGATCAAGAAGCTGACGTTTTGTTGGGTTCAGTGTAAGGCTAACATCACTGTCACAGTCACTGTCGGAAGTGGTATCTGGAACATAATTATCTGAACTCTCTGGTGTAGAATCAAAGAGCTCACCAGAATCTTGAAGATCAATGTCTTTTATCTTAAAAAAGTAAACAAGAAACATCAAAAAGTTCATTAGAAATAGGTAGAACTGCTGCATTTAATTGATCATTAAAAGATATAAATTGGCAACTATTTAAAAAAAAAAAGTACTGTTCAAGTATTTTTAAATTTACAAGTTACATGTGATTTGCAGCTTCTTACTGCTTGTTACACTAAAGTTCTTAAGTGTAATAAAACATTTTGGGCAGTTGATCTGACAAATAAGGACATCTGATTTCAAATAAAGGGGATGCAATTTTTTTGATTCACTGATATTTTGCAGTCAAAATGATTTATCACATAATTTATTAATTACATAGCCTAAATTATATTTCACTGAGTGATTGATGAGAATAAAATGTTGATGGCAGCTCTAAGCAAAATAACTTATCAATAACAAATGACAATAGTTACGTTTACATGCAACCAAATAATCCATTAGAAATCAGACTGACGGCTTAAAGGAGAACTCCGGCGAACAATGAACCTTTGGTCTAATAAAACATCGGTACCTAGTCAATCGTTCTCTTTGATGAGATTTGAGATCATGAGATTTATTTTCATGATAATCGAATGTAAAGAGTTTTATCTCTAAAAACTGTTTAGCGTATAATGCTAGTAATGGGGGCATTGACCAAGTAAAAAGAAATCGCTAGTTTATACCACTAACAAGGCTCAAAATAGCCCCACTCTAACACAGTAACATAATGAGGCTCCATACATGCAAAACGAAGCATTGAGAACTTTGTAAGTGTACAGACCGTTTAATAAGAAGATACTTTATGAAGACGGTTCACTTTGTGTATACAGACAGGAGCCATCTTAAAAAAGTCTCGATAAGTCGATCCCCGAACGACGTTCATACAGTTCAGAAGTTCAAAGAACTTCATACAGTTCAGATCACTCAGCACGACGTTCGTGGTTTGACTTATCGAGACTTATTTTCTAAGATGGCTTCTGTCTGTATACATTAACAGTGAACTGTCTTCATAAAGTATCTTCTTATTAAACGGTCTGTACACTTACAAAGTTCTCAATGCTTCGTTTTGCATGTATGGAGCCTCATTATGTTACTGCGTTAGTGTGGGGCTATTTTGAGCCTTGTTAGTGGTATAAACTAGCAATTTCTTTTTACTTAGTCAATGCCCCCATTACTAGCATTATACGCTAAACAGTTTTTAGAGATAACTCTTTATATTCGATTATCATGAAAACAAATCTCAGAGAACGATTGACTATGTACCGATGTATTATTAGACCAAAGGTTCATTGTTCGCCAGAGTTCTCCTTTAATCAGACTGAAAAGCCTTCATATGCAAACACCTTTATCCTATGTAAAAAGCGAGCAGAGCAAGCTTCCATAAGAATGGACTCAAATTATGAATGCCCTTTACATTTAACTTTCGCTTTCAAATTATCGACGATTTTAAAATTTAAAAGAGAGGAGCAAAAGAGGGAAAAACTCCAACGTGTGCATGTAAACATAGCAATTGAGTCTCTTGTTGCAACTTGAGAACTTACCACAATACTTTTAGTCCGTCTCAGTCTTGGTACAAAAATGTCATTTTCATTTCGGTGCTGTATCACAATCTGTAAAAAGAAAAGAAAACAGTGTAAACAACATTTTAGTATTTGACATGTAAAAATAAAAAGCGCAAGAAAACAAAAATTATATATATATATATATATATATATATATTCCTGTCCAGCAAAGCTTGATCATCTGGATTACATCTTGATCTACATCTGGTTTAAAACCAGCCTCATGGGGACTTTACACACACAACGTTATAGTTCCTTATGGGGACCAGTTTCATCAAATTCAAAACACGGGTGTGAACTCAAATACTGACCAAAAGTGTGTTGTGGGGACGTCGTGAGTGTCCATTTCAATGCAACAATTAACCCAGAAAAAAAATCCCAGTGAAGGATAAAAGTGGCCCTAAATACTGCACTACAATTGATCTACTGGGCACATGTCGTAAAACAGTTTAATGTACTAGTTTACACCAGATACTCATCAAAATATGCTTACAAATCACTAAACCGTGAAAAAAAACCTAAATCTTTACTAATGAATGTGAACTCACCTGTTGAGGAGAGTTGATTTGAGCAGATTCTTCATCCATCTGAGTCACTGACTGGAGAGAAGGATCAGAGTCATTCACTGTGCTGGTATTAACAGCAACTCTGGTCATCTGTAAGAGACAACATTCACAATGACAAGATTTTAGAAAATGGAAAAGGACAAGAGAAATCTGAAGCAGATACCACATGATTTGAGAATGTAAAACGAAATCAACTACATCTATAACATATTTCCTGTCCAGTCTAACTCTGTGCGCGCTCACACACACAAATATCTAGATTAAAACCAGCCTCATGGGGACTTTACACACACAACGTTATAGTTCCTTATGGGGACCAGTTTCATCAAATTCAAAACACGGGTGTGAACTCAAATACTGACCAAAAGTGTGTTGTGGGGACGTCGTGAGTGTCCATTTCAATGCAACAATTAACCCAGAAAAAAATCCCAGTGAAGGATAAAAGTGGCCCTAAATACTGCACTACAACTGATCTACTGGGCACATGTCGTAAAACAGTTTAATGTACTAGTTTACACCAGATACTCATCAAAATATGCTTACAAATCACTAAACCATGACAAAAAACCTAAATCTTTACTAATGAATGTGAACTCACCTGTTGAGGAGAGTTGATTTGAGCAGATTCTTCATCCATCTGAGTCACTGACTGGAGAGAAGGATCAGAGTCATTCACTGTGCTGGTTTTAACAGCAACTCTGGTCATCTGTAAGAGACAACATTCACAATGACAAGATTTTAGAAAATGGAAAAAGATGAGAGAAATCTGAAGCAGATACCACATGATTTGAGAATGTAAAACGAAATCAACTACATCTATAACATATTTCCTGTCCAGTCTAACTCTAGTGCGCGCTCACACACACACACATCTGGATTAAAACCAGCCTCATGGGGACTTTACACACACAACGTTATAGTTCCTTATGGGGACCAGTTTCATCAAATTCAAAACACGGGTGTGAACTCAAATACTGACCAAAAGTGTGTTGTGGGGACGTCGTAAGTGTCCATTTCAATGCAACAATTAACCCAGAAAAAAAATCCCGTGAAGGATAAAAGTGGCCCTAAATACTGCACTACAACTGATCTACTGGGCACATGTCGTAAAACAGTTTAATGTACTAGTTTACACCAGATACTCATCAAAATATGCTTACAAATCACTAAACCGTGACAAAAAACCTAAATCTTTACTAATGAATGTGAACTCACCTGTTGAGGAGAGTTGATTTGAGCAGATTCTTCATCCATCTGAGTCACTGACTGGAGAGAAGGATCAGAGTCATTCACTGTGCTGGTATTAACAGCAACTCTGGTCATCTGTAAGACAACATTCACAATGACAAGATTTTAGAAAATGGAAAAGGACAAGAGAAATCTGAAGCAGATACCACATGATTTGAGAATGTAAAACGAAATCAACTACATCTATAACATATTTCCTGTCCAGTCTAACTCTAGTGCGCGCTCACACACACACACATCTGGATTAAAACCAGCCTCATGGGGACTTTACACACACAACGTTATAGTTCCTTATGGGGACCAGTTTCATCAAATTCAAAACACGGGTGTGAACTCAAATACTGACCAAAAGTGTGTTGTGGGGACGTCGTGAGTGTCCATTTCAATGCAACAATTAACCCAGAAAAAAAATCCCAGTGAAGGATAAAAGTGGCCCTAAATACTGCACTACAACTGATCTACTGGGCACATGTCGTAAAACAGTTTAATGTACTAGTTTACACCAGATACTCATCAAAATATGCTTACAAATCACTAAACCGTGACAAAAAACCTAAATCTTTACTAATGAATGTGAACTCACCTGTTGAGGAGAGTTGATTTGAGCAGATTCTTCATCCATCTGAGTCACTGACTGGAGAGAAGGATCAGAGTCATTCACTGTGCTGGTTTTAACAGCAACTCTGGTCATCTGTAAGAGACAACATTCACAATGACAAGATTTTAGAAAATGGAAAAGGACAAGAGAAATCTGAAGCAGATACCACATGATTTGAGAATGTAAAACGAAATCAACTACATCTATAACATATTTCCTGTCCAGTCTAACTCTGTGCGCGCTCACACACACAAATATCTGGATTAAAACCAGCCTCATGGGGACTTTACACACACAACGTTATAGTTCCTTATGGGGACCAGTTTCATCAAATTCAAAACACGGGTGTGAACTCAAATACTGACCAAAAGTGTGTTGTGGGGACGTCGTGAGTGTCCATTTCAATGCAACAATTAACCCAGAAAAAAAATCCCAGTGAAGGATAAAAGTGGCCCTAAATACTGCACTACAACTGATCTACTGGGCACATGTCGTAAAACAGTTTAATGTACTAGTTTACACCAGATACTCATCAAAATATGCTTACAAATCACTAAACCGTGACAAAAAACCTAAATCTTTACTAATGAATGTGAACTCACCTGTTGAGGAGAGTTGATTTGAGCAGATTCTTCATCCATCTGAGTCACTGACTGGAGAGAAGGATCAGAGTCATTCACTGTGCTGGTTTTAACAGCAACTCTGGTCATCTGTAAGAGACAACATTCACAATGACAAGATTTTAGAAAATGGAAAAAGATGAGAGAAATCTGAAGCAGATACCACATGATTTGAGAATGTAAAACGAAATCAACTACATCTATAACATATTTCCTGTCCAGTCTAACTCTAGTGCGCGCTCACACACACACACATCTGGATTAAAACCAGCCTCATGGGGACTTTACACACACAACGTTATAGTTCCTTATGGGGACCAGTTTCATCAAATTCAAAACACGGGTGTGAACTCAAATACTGACCAAAAGTGTGTTGTGGGGACGTCGTAAGTGTCCATTTCAATGCAACAATTAACCCAGAAAAAAAATCCCGTGAAGGATAAAAGTGGCCCTAAATACTGCACTACAACTGATCTACTGGGCACATGTCGTAAAACAGTTTAATGTACTAGTTTACACCAGATACTCATCAAAATATGCTTACAAATCACTAAACCGTGACAAAAAACCTAAATCTTTACTAATGAATGTGAACTCACCTGTTGAGGAGAGTTGATTTGAGCAGATTCTTCATCCATCTGAGTCACTGACTGGAGAGAAGGATCAGAGTCATTCACTGTGCTGGTATTAACAGCAACTCTGGTCATCTGTAAGAGACAACATTCACAATGACAAGATTTTAGAAAATGGAAAAGGACAAGAGAAATCTGAAGCAGATACCACATGATTTGAGAATGTAAAACGAAATCAACTACATCTATAACATATTTCCTGTCCAGTCTAACTCTGTGCGCGCTCACACACACAAATATCTAGATTAAAACCAGCCTCATGGGGACTTTACACACACAACGTTATAGTTCCTTATGGGGACCAGTTTCATCAAATTCAAAACACGGGTGTGAACTCAAATACTGACCAAAAGTGTGTTGTGGGGACGTCGTGAGTGTCCATTTCAATGCAACAATTAACCCAGAAAAAAATCCCAGTGAAGGATAAAAGTGGCCCTAAATACTGCACTACAACTGATCTACTGGGCACATGTCGTAAAACAGTTTAATGTACTAGTTTACACCAGATACTCATCAAAATATGCTTACAAATCACTAAACCATGACAAAAAACCTAAATCTTTACTAATGAATGTGAACTCACCTGTTGAGGAGAGTTGATTTGAGCAGATTCTTCATCCATCTGAGTCACTGACTGGAGAGAAGGATCAGAGGCATTCACTGTGCTGGTTTTAACAGCAACTCTGGTCATCTGTAAGAGACAACATTCACAATGACAAGATTTTAGAAAATGGAAAAAGATGAGAGAAATCTGAAGCAGATACCACATGATTTGAGAATGTAAAACGAAATCAACTACATCTATAACATATTTCCTGTCCAGTCTAACTCTGTGCGCGCTCACACACACAAATATCTAGATTAAAACCAGCCTCATGGGGACTTTACACACACAACGTTATAGTTCCTTATGGGGACCAGTTTCATCAAATTCAAAACACGGGTGTGAACTCAAATACTGACCAAAAGTGTGTTGTGGGGACGTCGTAAGTGTCCATTTCAATGCAACAATTAACCCAGAAAAAAAATCCCAGTGAAGGATAAAAGTGGCCCTAAATACTGCACTACAACTGATCTACTGGGCACATGTCGTAAAACAGTTTAATGTACTAGTTTACACCAGATACTCATCAAAATATGCTTACAAATCACTAAACCATGACAAAAAACCTAAATCTTTACTAATGAATGTGAACTCACCTGTTGAGGAGAGTTGATTTGAGCAGATTCTTCATCCATCTGAGTCACTGACTGGAGAGAAGGATCAGAGTCATTCACTGTGCTGGTATTAACAGCAACTCTGGTCATCTGTAAGAGACAACATTCACAATGATTCACCTAAACTCACCTGTTGAGGAGAGTTGATTTGGGGATTTGGATATAATTTATTGGAACAGACAAATTTGATTCATAGATTTCTAATCAACCAACAAATTTGTTGACATGTTGCAAAAATATGACCTATTTTGTACACAGTGTGCTTAACAACATACTTGTGTTCTCCATGGGTAGTCTTCTCCCCCATAATCATAGGCAATTTCTTCTCCTTCTTTAATGTCATTCAGGGCAAACAGACAAAGGTGAGGCTTTCCATTGACGTCAATTTTTTTCATCTTACAATTTGGATGATTGTGGCAATCATTAGCGATACGCCCATACGATCCATCTTCCCTTGACGCGTCAATACTTAAATATGAAACCATGAGAAAAGGATGATTACAAGTAATACAATTAAACCACCACAAATCAATGTATTTTTACTATCTTTTTATATAGCTTTGGTACAACTTGACTTCTTACCACCATGTTTTCCCTCGCCACTTGAAATCAAACATAAATGCAGCACAGGATGCGTGGTAACGTTTTCTTCTCCTCTGAAGTTCTGCTTCATTTATCATATCTCCCCTGTACTCAACAACAAAATCACCTTTGCAAAAGGCAGCCTTTGCAAATAGACCACGTCCTGCAAAATACAGAAAAAAACATTTTAAATTAATAAAATCTTATAGATAAAGGATACCAAATACACTAAAAAAGTCATCAATAGTTGGCAGCTGATTTAAAATAAGCTGCAACCAGGGGTCTGATTAAATATACCCAGGAGTTTTGCATTACATGCTCATAAGATAATGGTTAGGAAATGCATATCTTGGTAAATATTTCATGATAAAAATCACACCACCTTACCTTTCACTGCATTGATATACTTCACATCTAATTTGAATGTTTTGTCAGTTTTTGAAACAACATGATGCATGGCATCCTTAAGGGGGCTGATTCGTGGTGGCATTTCAAACTGATGAAAAATAAAAACATGTGAAATTAATTACACTGAAAATGAAGACACGCAGAATTCAACTAATATGTTCAAGAAGTAGATAAAAATGGTATTGTAATGTTACAGCATTACAATGATATTGTATGCATCAGTGTAAGACAAGACATATGAACTCTATAAAATAATATTAGATTTATTGACTGGCACAACAATGCTAGCCTTGAGAGCATCAACTCACCATCTTCTATTTTATTTCAGGTAACATTAGCCTTGGCAATTATTTAACTATTCATTTGGTCCTTAACCTAACCAAGTTACTCTTTTGAACGAGCTCACCATACAAACCCCAGTTTATTTTAACTACCGTCATAATTAAAATTAAGTTTATTCTTAAAGCTACTTTCTATTTTAGTTTTTGTTTTATTTTAGCCAACCTAATTTCTCTGTTAAGCACTTTGGTCAAGATCTGTGGCTTGTATATGCTGCCTATGGAGTTAATTTAAATGTAAAAACAATTATTGATCAGTCAAACGTGTTAACGTTACATGTAAGATATCTTCAATTTAAAATATAAAATAAGCCACCGTCCAGCACTAGCGCAAACTAGACAAAAACAACCTTAAAAACCGAATCCATTAGCAATCAGTCAGACTACACAACACTTTTCAGTTAAAATTAAGTCCTTAACATTAAATTGCATGATTATGTGATCGCTAATTGGAAAAACAGAGAAACATGTAACTGCGTTAGCCTCAACAATTAGCACTAACTAGCTAGCCCGCAGACTAATCTAATTAACCTAATTGATTTATTATGTGTGCTTACCTTAAGCTTCACTTTTATCCTCGGCAGAAGTTCAGATCGTTGGCATCTTCAGTAAATAACGTTAATCTTCTTCTTTGTTCTCCGTGTGAAGTAACGTTGTCAATTTAATACTTGTATTTTCAAGTTGCTGTCGAACTCCTTCCTAACGAGGACCCGGAAGTGGGCGGTACCCACCCATAATTGGAAAATGTGTGTGTGGAGAAGTGAGTGCATTACCAGACAAAAATGTTTGGGGGCGCAGCAGAGCTCCCGCTACACACACGCACAATACTTGATAATCATGTGTTATGGGCCAATGCTAAAACTCCGCCCAGAACCTTCAGAATAGTTCCTCTATCCAATTAAATGGGTTAACCTTATGGGGACCTGATTTTTGGTCCCCACAACGCAAGAGGTCCCCATTACGTGACTGTGTAAACAGATTCTTGTCCCCACAAAGTGATGATTACCAGAACACACACACACACACACACACACACACACACACACACACACACACACACACACACACACACACACACACACACCACAACACACACACACACACACACACACACACACACACACACACACACACACACACACACACTCCTCAGGGTCCCCCTTCCAATCATGCCGTTCCACCTGCACACCTCCAAAAACACCATCACCTTATCAGAATCTCAGCGCTTCTAACTGTCAGATGTATTTCTTACCTCCAGAGTGTCGTTTTCTTAATCATTTCTCAAGTTTTTTTTTTGTGCTTCTCTCTCTTTGAGCCTGTGAAAGCATAAAAAGATGCTGTTGAAAAAAGTCAGAGCTCAGAACTACAAAAAAAAAATGTGTTGGTGAAAACCTCAATGGCGCTTCTCAATCTTGAGCTTGGTCTGCTGCCTCTTAGAAAGTGACGTGTGGTACAAACAACACATGTGACAGGTGATGATATACAAGAATTTCTGGTATGTATTTTGATGCAAAAGATCAAGGATACTGTTCTAAGATCTGACTGAAGATAAGAGGACTTTCGTTGTTATTTTAACTCTGACCTCCACTTTCAACTTAACTAAGCGTATACATTTATTTATTTAGCAGAATGTGTATTACATAATACATGCCCAACACTATAGCTACAGTATAGCCTTAACTTAATCTCAACAATCACCAAATATATATATATATATAGGCTATATATATATATATTGTACATATATTATTGTGTAATAAAGTTTTCGTGTAATATACAGACGTTCTTTACAGACACTTTCAGTCTAACCCTAACACTAACTAACCTAAACCTCTTGAACAAGTTGAATTGGTACTGGGTAACTTTCAATCATTTTACTGGTGTAATGATTCACACACGTACAGGAATACAGAAGTATTTTACATATAAATTGGGGGTTATTTGTCTTGAGATTTACTTTAAAGGCCCATGTTTATTGTCCTGTGAGTGCAGATGGATGATTTCGTCGCATATGCTTCGGGGCCATTCACACAATGACTTTGTACGTTTAAAAATGCATGGCAGTGGAATGCAAAACAATGCAAGATCAATACAACAATCTGGATGCATTAACAACAAAAAAAAAAAAATAGTTCAATTTCTCTATTAATTGGCAAACTAATTTTTAATGATAACTTATAAACCTTTAAAGACAGCCATGATTTTTAATCGATAGCATTTGCTTTTGCAGAAGCCGTTAGCTCACATTATTTCAGATTTGTTTTATAGTCCCCCTGTGGTGAAAATCAAGCTTTTGTCTATGTGGTGTTTTTAAATATGCTTTAAGACAAACCATATGCAAATTTAAAATAAGTCAACAGTAAGTCATCACTCTAAACAATGCTGGGTTGTTTGAACCCAAATTTGGGTAAAATATGGACAAACCCAAATGTTGGGTTAAGAATGTAATTTCAAATTAACCCAATTTCAACTTTCACTTTCAACTGTACATTTCTTAATTGCAATTTTTAACCCAACATTTGGGTTTGTCCATATTTTACCCATATTTGTGTTGAAACAACGTCGCTGGTGTCTCTGCCGTCACAAACTACCTTGTAACCAATCAGTGATCGCCAACGAGTGGATCTCTGAGCTGGAGTGATTGGAGGTGGGGCTCATTTGCATATTCATAGAACAGTGTATACTAAATGAGGTGTAGAGTTTACATTCAAGCAATTTTAAGGCATGAAGAATTTTTTTTTCAAGGACAATATATCGTTTTGGTAGTCAAAGATGAGTTTTAAGGGATAAAATGATTGACTACATGGGGACTTTAAAATAATCTTGTTTACCAGCAGAATTTGTGGTGAAAACTACATTACCCATGATGCCGTACAGAAAATTCTAAGCAAGAAAAACACCGCAATATCTCATTAGCTCCGCCCACTCCCGTGAATACAGCTTCAGACTCTCAAAATACTAAAATATTTGATCATATATATTCATATTTTGCAATAAACTTAAATATTATGTTTTATACATAATATCAACGTTTTTAAATGAGTGCGAGAGATAGATGACAAACGCAGATTAGTAGGCCTATACTTTTAGCTGTATGACAAAAAATACTTTCTGTCATATCAGCTGATTTGTTCATTTTTTTATTTTTTATGTTTAGCTCGATTGAATACCCACTAAAAAACAAACCATGTGTATTAACAGATAGGACTCGTTCTAATGAATACTGAAATTTTTTCCAGTTAATTTAATTCATTTGCAAATAAACAATATCATTATGAGACTCAGTCCACTTTTAATGCAAATGAAGCAAAAATACAACTGAATTCCACACTGCAAATTTTAAAATGTATCATTCCTTTTTTAAATAAATGTGGGAATAATCCTGAGTAAAATTGTTCATTCCCATCAGCTGCGATTCTTCAGCTGGTGTTTCAGAGTTCAGGGTGACAGTTCTGAGGCAGGACTCATTAGTGTGTGTGTGTGTGTGTGTGTGTGTGTGTGTGTGTGTGTGTGTGTGTGTGTGCTCACCAGCTGTTCTTATGCAGGCCTCATTAGAGTATTTGTGTTTGACGCTGCTCATGTCTGGTCAAGAAACATTTGAATAATTTCACATGGACACAAGTTCACTACGAGCTCTTAAGGGCAGCTGTGTGTATTTGTGTGTGTGTGTATATGTCATTCTGATTTGTGAATGGAGGAAAATCACAATGGAATCCAAAGGAAAAAGACAGATAAAACGATCTCCTTTCGTCCGCTATAGCGACTGCCCTGTTACTAAAAGAAAGATTACCAAATTCTGATATTGTTTTTTTGACTATTGTCCATATGCCATTATTTAAATTATTGTTTTATTTCTGCTTTTTGTCACAATAATATCTAAAAGATGATTAAACTACAACAATATAACCACAACATTAATAATAATAATAATAAAATATTCATAATGCATTTCATAAATCCTGAGATCCAGAAAATAGGATCTCATTTGAATAATAATAATACAAAAATCAGAATGCATGTTAAATTCAAATATTCATAATGTTTTTTTTATATAAATGAAACCAGAATTTCCTTTGAATACTATACTACTACTACTAAAAATAATAATACAATATTCAGAATGCATGTTCATATAAATTAAAACATTCTCAATAAATGCAAGTGGGATTTCCTTTGAATAATAATAATAATAATAATAATATTAATAATAATACAATATTCAGAACACGTTATATTAAAATGTTCATAATGCATGTTCACATTCTTTAAATTTTCTCTTTAATTTTCTCTTTAAATGAATATGGGATCTCTTTTAAACAGTATAATAAACGTTCAGAACTGCGGTAAGAGTATTAATAATTTGATTTCACAGTAGTAGTAATAGCAGCAGCTGTAGCAGTACTTTGATGTTCATAAAATAATTCAAATTGAAGGGAAATGGTTAGGGAAATGAGGTGTGTGTGTGTGTGTGTGTGTGTATGTGTGTGTATCTCGCTCCACAGGTGTAATGTGTCCTGTGCTGTATTGATCTGTTTCCTTCCAGACTGAATTGAATGAACCCGTATCGATCTCAGCCATTGCTCAATCAGCGTGTTAGTGTGAGTGTGTGTCTGTGTGTATTTCTGACTGTCCAAAACAAATCAATATAAAGCAGGATGAATGTATCATGGGTAAGAGATTATCTGCCCCACACTTCATTTGACACAAAACACACTTCTTTGGCTCCAATGAGAATATTTAAAAGGCCATGCACTCACAAACTCCATGATACCACGTCATGATGGCCGCCATGCTAAAATAAATAATGTTGTTACTCCAATAAACATAAGGACACATAGTTATTTTATCTAATATTTATCTACTTTTATCTATGTTCTTCAGTAAAATTGGCATTTCTCTCACCTCTCTTGGGCATCGTTAAATTAGAAGACCGCACCATTTTTTCTACTATTTACTACCACTATAATTTGGAACAGCTTTCATGCCAATGATGCTCTAATGTAATCTAGTTAGGGAGCTCACAAGGGACTGGAACAGTGTTAGTTTATCACTGTTTATCTTGTCTCTCAATTAGTGAGCGAGAGACCCATGTCACTATGTTCATGTACTGGAAAATAGCCATTGATTGAGGGTTTTGGAAGCATTTTTTCCTTCAGCGGGCCTTTCACTGCAGCACACATGACTTATTTATTGAGACAGAAAACAGAAGACGTTCGATTCCCCAAAGACAAAGAGAAAATCTTTACAAAATCACTTTCACCAATAAGATCCCAGAACACACACACACACACACACACACACACGCACACCCAATGATTGATGGTGCACTGGTCATATTGTCTCTTCAGTTAATGTTTGGTCTCTCTTCTCTTAACGAGTATTTGTTTATTGCACATACTGACAATAAAACAGTGGGACTTTAATTTCCAGTATATTCCTAGGGGAATGAAATGCATAACGTGTGTGTGTGTGTGTGTGTGTGTGTGTGTGTGTGTTGGAATGGGGTCGAGTGTGAACCCTCGTGTTTTTTCCTCACATTTGTCCGACGTGTTGCCCATGGCAACAGCTGAAGAAATCGTAGTAATCAGAACACAACAGCACATTAACCACAGACTTTGACAAACCCTTTGCTCATTTTGTTCAACATCAATTATTGAACACATTCTCACCCCGTCTGCAAGACAAAACTAGAACACACACGTTATTAATGAACGACGACGTCTACACTGCAACTGAGAGAGATGTTTGTTTCACATTTCACTCTAAAATCCCCTCAAATCAAAATAAAAATAGTGAATAATATTCTGTCTGAAGCTCTTTTTAGAACCATTAAGATTTTTTTGCATCATGACATCTAGTCCTGAAACAAGAAATTATGCTGTAGCATTATAGAATTTTTTTTATGGAGGTAGCAAAAAAGGTAATACCGTAATTTACACACCATCATACCACAACCGAGAACTTTGAGGTGTGTATTGTATTGTATATTAATAATTATATAATAAGTGATAATATTGTATAATCGTAAGTGAAAAGCTAAATCAT